CTGTCTCAAAAAAAAAAAAATCACCAAAAAACTCCTGGAACTAAGTGATTATACCAAGGTTGCAGCAGGATACAAACTTAATGTACAAAAGTCAACCCCTTTCTTGTACACAGGTGTAAGCTGAATATGAAATAAAAAACACAATACCATTTACAGTAGCACACACAAAAATGAAATACTTAGGCGTAAGTCTAACAAAATACATAATGATATTATATAAAATCTATATGAGAAAACCTACCAAACACTGCTGAACGAAAACTAAGAACTAGATAGATATAACATGTTCATGGATAGGAAGACTCAATATTCAAGACTTCAGCTCTTCCCAGCTTGATCTACAGATTCAATGCACTGTCAGTTAAAATCCCAGCAAGTTATTTTGCAGATGTTAACGAACTGATTATAAAATTTAGACAGACAAAAGACTTAGATTAGCTAACAGGATCCTGAAGCAGAAGGATAAAGTTGGGAGAATGAACCTGACTTCAAGACTTATAGGCTGGGCATGGTGGCTCACACCTGTTATCCCACCAACGCTTTGAGAGGCCAAGGAGGAAGAAGTGCTTGAGGCCAAGAGTTGCAGGCCAGCCAGGGTAACACAGTGAGACCCTAACTGTACCAAAAAAAGAAAAAAAAAATTTAATTAGCCAGATGTGGTGGCACCTGCCTGTAATCTCAGTTACTCAGGAAGCTGAGGCGGGAGGATCCCTTGAGCCCAGGAGTTCGAGGCTGCAATGAGCTGTGACTGTTCCACTGCACTCCAGTCTGGGCGACAGAGCGAGACTCCGTCTCAACAACAACAAAAAACACTTATTTTAAAGCTACAAAAATCAAGACAGTGTGGTAGTGTGGTATTAGTGAAAGAACAAATAGACCAACAGAACTCAATAAAGAGCCCAGAAACAGACCCATATAAATATAGTCAACTGATCTCTGACAAAGGAACAAACTCACAGGGGGGAAATATCCACTCCTAACTTTTTCTCACTTCTTTAGCACCACAGCCTTCCTTACTGTGTCCTTTCCTTTCATTAACTTGAGTCCTCACCTCAGTCCTCTTGAGGGTACTAGTTGGTCACACTCTGGGCTTCCACGAATACAGTAAGGTGTCTTTAGATATTTCCAGTTTAGACCTCCCATGTGAGTTACAGGCTGAAATATAGGCATTGGATATTCAACACCTGCGAAAGTCTCTCCCAGGGTCCCTCTTCTAACAGCTTTCCTAGTCCCCGGCTGTATAGCTCAGTGGCAGAGCACAACATCTGGCAACGTCGTCGCCACCACTCACCGAGTGCAATGGATTTGGCAATCAAGTCACTTGTAAAGTCTCCCCTCCGGTTCACTCCATCAATCATTCATAAAGTCCAGATGATCCACTGGCCCGCCCCTTACCTCTTGGACTCTCGAGCTCCGCTCCTAGCCTTTTCTCCCTACTCATACACCTGTAATTGTGTCCACAGTTCACTAGACTACCGTCCCCACCAAACCAAAGCTCCTCTAAAATCAGGAACATACATAACTTATCTCTGCATTGCCAGCACCAGCTCTAGAGTTCAGCACACAAAAAGACACTCCATAAACAAGCATTTGGCCAAACGAAAAAGGAGGAACTGGTAATTTCTCCAACGAAGGTCCAACGGTCTGCATAAGACAACTTTCTGTAGAAAACACGAAAAGATGGAGGATCTCAGATTTCAGGGTCCGCAGCTGGCAATGAAGTGCAGTATAATTGCCCGTCACAGATTACCACGAGGCACGTTTCTGCAGGACCAGAGCTTGGGTGAGCTTTAGAGGAGCTTCGATTTGGCGGGGAGGGTAGTCTAGTGAACTATGGACACAATTACAGGTGAACGTGAGTTCAGTTCCCGGGAGTAACCCTGCAGAGATCAACGTGGCCACCCTCAGTATCCAGTCGACTTTTAAACACGGAAAGTCTCTACTTACCCAGCACGAAGCCGTCCGGAAACTGGTGGCCATCCCCACGCCCACGTTCGTGCGCTGCCTAGGGGGCAGGACCCGCGGGCTGCGTCCGCACGAAGACAGGTGCGGGTCCTGGGCCCCAGGCACCTGACCGTCCCGGGGCTGAGTCGCTCGCAGGGACGCCGGCTCCTCAGCTCTCGCCCAACGCGGAGTGCGCGTGACTAGACGGCCTCCCGGTCTGGGTACCAGGAGTCGCACCGATGGATTTGTGCCGTTCAGCAGCCCTGGCTCGGGAGAGCAGGCGGCTGGCCTGGCTCCGTCCACGCCTCGAACCGACGGAGGTGTTTAGCTGGTCAAGTCCCTGGTCTGCCCCGGATAATCCCAGCCGCTTAGCTCCGCGCCTCCGCGGTCACAGAGACTAGCCAGGTTCACCCACTGGCCAGATTTCGGTCCACTGAGTCTAAGCCGGAAACAGCCCTGCACGCGCGCACCCGACTAAGACAGGGTGTGTGGCGCACGCGGAAGTGCGTCATGCGTCGATGCGCCAGGACGCGACAGCGCCGGAAAAACTACATCTCCCACAATCCTCGGCGAAGGCTCCCTAGGTACTGGCCTGACTTCCGGCTGCGGCGTATCTGGAGAGGGGCACAGCCTGACAGGAAAGGAAGGTTGGGAGGGGGCTCCGTCAGCGGCACCTGGTTCACCCTCCCCCGGCTGCGCCAGGTTCAGTACCATCCTCGGAGCCCGGACGCCCAGTTTCCCAGGGCCTGTAGAACTGACTCAGAGTCTGACCCCAGCAGAGACGCAGGCGTGCTGAGGTCTTGATATCAAACAAGATGGGGTTCAGACCAGAAGGCACAGCAAAAAAGGACGCTTTGTAAAGCTAAAAGCTGCAATTCGTAGGGTTAAATAACAGTTTGGAAATCAGTGCACCAAATAATAGAGTAACCAACTTCATAAAGAAGAAACTATAGTAGATGTTAAAGACAAATAAATAGGCCGGGCGCGGTGGCTCAAGCCTGTAATCCCAGCACTTTAGGAGGCCGAGACGGGCGGATCACGAGGTCAGGAGATCGAGACCATCCTGGCTAACACAGTGAAACCCCGTCTCTACTAAAAAATACAA